TGTGAAGATCTATTTAAAGATATGGGCACCACCAGATAGCGTGTATCCCATAAAAACAAAGAAGGAAGAGGGAAAGGGGGCCATCTAACCTAAATGCTTCAACCCATCATTTAGGAAGCTTGCAGACTGCTAGGGGTACTTTCATTTGCCTATACGACATCTTTTCATTGAAGAAGAAGAGGTATTACATTTCATAATATTCCCCAAGTTATACAACATACATATGGCTAAATTCAGGGTCAGTATTTCTCAAAGTTCTAGTTTCTTGAAGAAAAAACATCATTCATGTGACTAAAATCATTTCTCCATGGAAGGATATGTGTCAGTTCATAAAGTTAAGTAGAAATAAGAGAATCCATCAAACATAATTCAATCTGAAGTAGTTTCTTAACTACCTCAGATACTCAGACCTGGACAAGCAGCGTGACACACCCAGTGGCCAACAATGGACTATAAATACTCTATAAATAAGTCCTACGTTACAAGTTTCCTCTACAGGAGAAAAACATTTCTTTCTTTCCCCTTCCACCCTACCCACTCTTGGGCAAATATTTATTATGGACAATGCAAGGAAATATTGTTGAGTCCCTCCACCATGCTTGGTACATACCACAACAGCGATGCAATGCAGGATGTTAGGTTAAATCGAATGTAACACTCAAAAGACAGCACTTTGGAAAACTGCTTTTCCAGGGCACTGATAATGACTATGGTAGAGGAGACCAACACTTTCTCCCCCTCTTTATGTATCAACATGTTGAAAACCACTGTATTGTGAAACCAATAAAACAACAGATCGCAATATCACCCTGAGTATGATTTGGTGCTGTCCCACACATTTTTCTATCTTCTCTAAACTTCTGATGCATAAGAAGTTGTAAAATAGCACAGAGGAGTCTTGTACACCCTGCACCTAGTTTCAAAACCAGGCAAGTGTTCACAGACCTTATTCATACTTCACCAGTTTTACGTATACAATTTTATATACACTCATTTTGTGTGAGACACAAAGACAGTGAGTGTGTATAGATCTATTCCATTTTATCACACACACGTTAATTTGTGTAACCTCTACTATAGTCAAGATACAGAACTGTCCCATCACCACAAAGATCTACCTAAGCCTTTACAGTCACATTCGACACCTTCTCTCATACTCTGCCTCTAAGCGCTGGTCAACACTGATCTATTATTCATCTCTCTAATTCTGTCATTCTGAAAATGTTATATAAATGGGATCTTTATTTCCTCCTGGTGCTTTGAGATTTGTAGCATTCAAAGTTTTGAGACTGGCTTTTTTTTTTTTTTCACTTCTCATGATGTCCCAGAGATTCATTCAACGTGTTGCATGGGTTTATAGTTCAATCTACTTTTTTCCCCCCTGAATAGGAAGACAATACTAAGATAGGGATGTGCTCTGTTTTCATTTTCATTCAGTGAAAAATAGTTTCAATTTTCCCTTTTAATTTCTCCTGTGAACTTTGCATCATGTGGAAGTACAGTGTCTGGTTTCCAAACATTTCTGGATTTTTCAGAGATGTGTTAATCATTACTTATTTAATTCCATTTGTGGTCAGAGAATACACATACTTTGTATGGCCTGAGAGCTTTTATATTTATTGAGATTTGTTTTCAAATGGCCCAGGAGAAGATCTATATTGATCAGTGTTCCCTCTGCACTTGAAAAGAATGTATGGTCTACTGTTGTTGGGTGCAGTGTTCTACTTGGTCTGATATTAATGTAGCAACTGAGCGTTTAAAGTGTTTTTCCTTGGCAGCATTTGTTTTTAATCAAATTTGACAATCTCTAACTTTTTATTAGGATATTTAGACTTGAGTACTGATATGCCTAGGGTTGTTTACATTTTATTTCCTTTTTTGGCATAGGTTGCTTTTTATTTGAGTTTCCCTTCAAGTGATGTTGAAGTCACATATACTATAAAAACCAGACAATAATCTAATTCCGTTTCCCACACTCCTGGCCTTTATGCTACTGGTGTCATATATTACACTTACACACACACACACACACACACATTTTAAAGATCACAATACATTGATACTGTTTTTGTCTTAACAGTGATTTATATTTTAAAGACACTTAGATAATTACCAAAAAACCCACACACAGTTTTAACCATTTTCAGGGTTCTTCATTCCCTTCCATCCGGCATCAAAAGCTCTCCCCACCTTTCCTATAATGCCTTTAGAAGAAGGTAGAGAAACACAATTATATCCCCAATAAAACAGAGGAAGCTTCTGTGGATCCCAGTCACCTTTCTATTGTGTATCAGTTATATTTCTGTTGAATAGTCCTTTGTTACAATGTAACAAACAAACAAAAATTTCAGGGAGCTTTTCGGGAAGAACTTCTCACATACCCATAGATTATCTCAGAAAGAAGTTCAAAGTCTGACCTCCCCCCAACAGAGCTAGTTAATGTCAGCAACTTCAAAATACTGCTGCTGCCAAAATAGCTGAGAGAAAAGGAGGAAACACTATTTTCCCCTAAATAAAACTTTTCCAAGTCAGCTCAGTAAGCCCTGTTTCTAATTTACAATTTGGGAAGCTCTAAAGCAAAAGAAAGAAAAAGTATTGTCTCCTTTGGGATCATATTCAAAGCTGGTGGATATTTGTCAGGCCCGTCTAATGTTTATCTTTGTTTGGGGCAAAGGATACACTAAAATAAAATGCCTATTTTAGGGACGGTAACTATAGTATGCAATATTTATGAAGGAAGAAAAAAATACTGTTAACACAAAAATCATTAATCTTCTCTGCTATAATCTTTTTATAAACTATTCCCAAGATTTCTTATGAGACCAAGGCAAAGCCTTCTTTATGATATTAGATGCCTGACTTTTACCTTTACTGAGTTATACTGTGAAATTAGATTACTGCCTGCACATCACTTCACGCATATAACCTAATCGATCTGCTCAAACCATATGACTTCACTTACTCAAAATGGCAACTTCTTACAGTTCATCCTAATACCAAAGAAGTCATTACCACCTCCATAGTGGCTTTGTAAGGAGCACTCTTGTATGAGTCAATTTAAGATACACTAAAATTGCTCAATTTTGTATCATTCCATTCAATTAATATAGGTAGGAAATGTGACTACAGTTAAGAATACAAAATTTCGGGGTTTTACTTACTTCGCTAAATTTAGGTAAGAAGCCTTTAGTGTTCCAGGCAGGTCTCCCTTTCCCTCCCTAGCAGCCACCCTTCTGCCACATACGCAGAATGTTGTTTATCAACTAGCAGTGTATTTATTATGACTACAGGGCTGAAAGGGGAGTGGGGATTCCTTGCTAAACATCCTGCTCTCCTACTCTCTTCAACTTGAGACAGACTCTTTCCCATTTCCATTTACATCATTCTTTGTCCACTATTATTATAATTTCCGGAGTTTGTGCAAGTCTGTTTCACTTGATCCACAGATCCAAATACAATCAAAGAAAATGTTGGCAACATTTGTGAAGTTCGCTTTAGAGTTTTACTCCAAATGGTTATATTTGAAAATACTTCTAGTAATATATTTATCAACAGTCTGCAAGTTGGGAAATAAGAAGTGATTTTCAATGCAGTTAAGCAAAACAAAAAACTTCCTGCCATCAGGTACTGTATACTTGTGTTTCAAGAGGTCACAAGATCTTTTCATTTGGCTTCAGCATGGGGAATTGGAGAGAAGGCAAGAAAGTAATAAGAAAGTATTCTTAATGAGGCTCTAACTTGCATAAAGGGTTCAAAAGATGGGCAGGTAGAGGCATTCTCTCTAAACTGGCCCCATCATTGGCTCTTACCAAGTGTATTTCAGCTTTTATTCTTCTGATGCAGATGTCCATGTTCTGCGTATTTAATTGCCTCAGTCATGTAATATACTAGCATGACCAGGACTTTCAATCAAATAGCCTTTCTCTATTTTAAGAAAACATGACTTTAAAACCCAGGCTGGGGTTGAGGGGTATAGCTCAGTGGTAGATCGCATGCTTGGCATGCACGAGATCCTGGGTTCAATCCTCAGTACCTCCATTTAAAAAAAAAGTAGTAGTAATAATAGTAATAATGATAATGATAATAAAAATAAAAATAAAACAGGCTAAATCTGTCTGTACTGTCAACGTAAAGAAGCAATATAATAATCATTACAGAATTATCTGTCTATAAGGTACTTTTAACCCATTAAGTTTTATTTATGGTAACATTTCACAAGGTAAGAGGAAACATTAATTACATCTGTCACTTAGATAACAGATCTTGCAACGTACTCAGAAGTACATAGTCAGAATAGACATTCCATTGTGAAGTACCTGAAGTTTATTATTTGAAATCAGGCACTTCTGAGATAAGAAACAAAGGTTCAGAATGATGCTTAAGTGTATAGATTGTTTTACAGTTTTTAAAGGATGTCAGTTTAGCATCACTTCATTGATCATAATACTACCTTTCTAAGAGCAAGTATTATTATTGATATTTTACATTTATCAAGTTATTGAGAGGTGGTTTGGAGCTAAAAACCAGGCCTTTTCATCCTTATCCCAATGCTAATGCACCTGGAATTCAAAAGGCCTAACATGAAATGCATTACAACACATATTTTATTTAGACGCTGTAGAATCATCACTGATGACTTTCTTTCAGGTTGTCTAATTCTGTTCTAGGAGCAACATCTCAGTTTGTCCTGTCTTCTCTTTAATACAGCCTTAATTAAAGCCCTCTCATCTTGCTCCAGGATCACCCAGCCTCCACCCCGCCCCCTCCTCCGAACCTCTTATTACAACACTGCCAGAGTGATCTTTCTAACACGCAGTTCTGATGGGGCTTGAAAACATTTGACGGCTTGCTACTGCCTACAGTGGCAGTTCTTCAATCGTGCACCTGGGGATTTTTGCAGTTCTAAGAACGGGACAAAGGGGATTCGAGCTGTTAATATAAAATCATATCCATCAATTTAATTCGCCAGAACAAAAAAATTAAGGAATAGAGATAGTTACTTTTTTTCTCCCCATGTCTTTTTCTCACATCTTTGGAACTTGCTACTGTTTGTCTACTGAAAAGACCTATCAAAATAAGTAAACAAAGAAAACCAGTATTAATTCTGAAAGAGTCAACCACACTTGATTCAACAATTAGTTATTTTCGCCCCTGTTGAGAGGTAGGGGGAGATGTCCTCATAAACACTGATATTATAAAAATGTCATGTTTTTGCCAAGTCATAGGAAAGAGTTAAATATATGCTCAGAGAGCCTAGAACCTAACAACTTTTATGGACTCTGCTTCCTGAACCAGAAAACCACTTACCTAATATCCCTCCCTCTGTGAAAGCTTTGGCAACTTAAGTCCTGCCCTCATACTTCAATGTGCCACCCTTCCCTGATGCACCCGTCTCATTTTCTTTTACCTTTTGATTAAACTCCTGTCTCAAGTTAGATAGTGAATTCTCTGAGGACAGAAGCAACATACTATTCACATTTAAACCACAAGTGCCCGACACATAGAAGTCACCCAAGAAATATGTGCTAGAAGAGTCAGTGAGTTCAAGTTTGTAAGAGAGCAAGAATGCCAACTATTTGTTACAATTATGGAGCTTCATAACTTTAGAGCAAAGCCAATGAACTGCCTCTGTTTCCAGTGTAACATGTAACACATTAGAAACATAAAATAAAAAGGTTTTAGAAATATTTTACTTCGTGCTACATAATACAGGCAGGCAAGAAAATAAGTTTGATGCAACAAAACTCCATCAAAAACATGTCAATGTTGATCTTTAGGAAGTTTCCTTAAAACATGCAGTACTCAGAGCCATCAAGTTAAATTAGGGATCCAGTCAATTCTACAGAATTGAATTATAACTGTAAAAAATTTTTAATTCTATGACCACAAACTGGATAATAAATATTAAATTAGCTTTTAAGGCCTCACCTACAAAGAAGGCTGTTTCTAGTTCAGTGTACATTTTCTCTTCCTTCTTAAGTGAAGAAAAGAACCCAGATCAGTCTCTACAAATGTTAAAGCTTAAGTCTAAAAGTAAACAAACTAAAGCCTGATGGAGTTGCAATCACTATTTCATTATTCCAAGTACAATTCTACAAAAATAAAACCCTGCCAAAACAATGTTGATGTCAGAAATAGATAGCAATTCTATGAAACTTTATTATATCCTAGTACTCTCAGTTTTAAAAAACAAATTTTGAGCCCCCGAGATATTTCCCATCAACGTATAATTTCAGGGGTGTATCTCATGGCCAGGGAATATGAACAGGCATAGGTATATTTCATGTGGGCTAAAGCTTATGACTTACGTTTCTATTAAATATCTCACTTGCCTCTGGCCTATGGACCAGTGGTAATGTGCATGGTTGCATTAAAAGTCAGCATTTTAAGATGAAAGCTCAAAAGACTGTATGGAAGGGAAAAAACAAGGAGAACTACTTACGGCCAGCAAGCAGGAACTGATAATACTGCACTGCATCTGCAGCGAGGAGCAGAGGGTGGTTTGCGTTAAATGGTGGCTGCAATTCATTCCATTGAGGAGTTCTAAGGAAATAGCAGAAGAATATTAATATTCAAGCTTAATAGCTGGGACGTAAATCACCATCACTGTCACCACTTATAGACAATGATATAAACTCACACTATCTTTGTAATCATTAAAATGAACTTGGAGTGCTGAAACCTGAAACATGAGGCCATCTGCTTAGAAAGAATAAAAAGGTGGCAGTGAGTCATACAAATTACAGACAGCCCATATTAGTTTAATAGCAGACGACCCTCCAATAGGATAGACAAGACACTGAAAACACAGAACAGAGAGGAAGTATGGAATTCAAATGCCACAACCAATTTTTGACTAATTTCAGACAATTGTTAGAGCTCTCTAGTCTTAGAATACACATATATTTTAAAATAAAATAAAGCAGGGAAAATGGTCAGTTAATCGCTGTCGAACTGTAATAATTCTACCTAATAAAACTGGAAAAAGAAAAAAAATTTTAAAACAGAGTGAATGATTGACTTATTATAGATCTAATTAGTATCTAAGTTCCAAAATAAGCCACTTATTTCAATGATGGTGCAGTAATTTTAATTAGATCTGCCCACTCTGAAATAGCCTGATAAATAAGATATTGATCAGATCAATCCAGTGCAGTAAAGTAGTAGTAAAGAATGCTGGAGCCTCCAAAAATCAATATAAGAATATTTTAAAATGTCAAACGGAGAGAGATCATTTTCATATCCATTTTTGTCTGTTTCCTACTATACATGTCAGGACCAATTTTTTTTCTGTCTCTTCTGTACAATTGTACACTATATTGAATGGGTTTTATTCTAGATTTTATTTCTCCCTCTTTATACTAGATTATAATGGTTCCAATGATTATGTAGTTTTGAGAAGGACTCTGAGTGTTACGAAACATTTCTATAGTGCTTAACCATTATATCTTGGGGAATCACTTTCAAGGCAACTTTCCAATCTATTTACATTAGTTTCCATTCCCCTTAATGGCTGTCTCAATATACTCTGTATTGGCAGTGAGCATGAGACTTGAAATAAGGGAAGCACTAAAGCCCTGCATGTGGGATAGACAAAAAAACACAAGACCTACAAAAGTCCCAGAAAAACACAAAGATGCAAGGAGAAGAGTTCAGAGGGAGGTACTCTCAAAGGCACATATCAAAGACAACTGAAAACATATATGACCACACAAAAATTTGTACGTGAATATTCTTAGCAGTATAATTCATGACAGCTAAACAGTGCAAATGTCCATCAGCTGATGAATGGATAAACAACATATGGTATATCCATGCAATAGGATGTTATCTGGCCTTAAAAAAGGAATGACATTCTGCTACATGCTACAACATGGAACTTGAAAACACTATGCTAAGTGAAAGAAGTCAACCAACAGGTCACACTTTGCATGATTCCATTTATATGAAATGTCCAGATTGGTAAATACACTGACAGAAAGTAATCTGGCAGTTGCCTATGGCTGAAGGGTTGAAGGAAAATGGGGAGTGACTGCTCATCGGTACCAGGTTTCTTTCGGGGTTTATGAAAATTGATTGTGGTGGTGGGTGCACAAACCAGTGAAAATTCACGTTAAGTGGGTAAATTGTATTGTATGTAAATCGCATCTCAATTTAAAAAGAAATGAATTATCAAAAATAAAACAACAAGGATAAATCAAAATAATTTTGCTGGGAGAAAGAAGGCAAAAATAGTACACATTCTGATTCTGTTTATATAAAATTCTACAAATTATAAACTATAGTACACAGAGCAGAAGAGCGGTTGCCTGAGGCTCAGTGCTTGAGGCAGGGGTGAAGTAGGGCAGGGGAGACAGATTACAAAGAGAAATGAGAATACATTTGAGGTGGTGGATATATTTATAATGTTAATTATGGTGATGGTTTCACAGTTGTATATACATGTCAAACCTTATCAAATTGTACACTTTTAATATTTTATATGTCCACAAAGCTCTTATTAAACAAAAAAACAAAAGGAGATCCTACCTAACCAGAGTCCAGCTGGCTCGAGGAGACGTCACCATTTCCAGTGGGGTGTCATCGCTGATCTTGGGGGCAGTGCTGAGCGGCCGTGGCTCCATCACGTGCTCCACTAAGGTCCCATAGCAGCTAATGATGTAGAGGGATTCAACGACAACTTGTTTGGACTGATCTACAAATGGAAAAACAGAACCTGGATGTGTGATATCGGCAGGGAAGGAGGACAGCATCATTTTTACAAGTTACTGACCCTTCAGTCTGGTCCTGAGGCTGCTGAGAGAAAAAAAGAAGGCAAGAACTTTTTCATATGGTGCCTGTTCCTTGCCTAAAGCTTGTCTCTTTATAAGTAGAGGCTAAAGAATGTGAAAATCTCTATGCTATCAAAATATTTTTAAATCTTAAGCAATAAATTTCAAGAATTATGTATATAATATATACACACACACACTCTCTCTCTCAAAATTCTAATATGCTGAAGCAAATTTTACAGTCTACAGTATTTCCCTGCAATGGAATAACCTGGCCCAGATTACGAAAAATGAGTGATACCAGGTGGGACAGAAAGGACGGGCTGAAAGGGAACGCTGTGTGGACTAAGATTTAGTTACACCAGATGGACTAAACCAACTCCACTGCATGAGAGGCTCTTTGTCTGCCTAAATCAGCCTAACTTCTCATCTACTTTCTCTGAGAAAACTTCTCCTTAACATTTCTGGATTAAAACAAACAAATAAATGAAAAACACATACGCCCTCCTTCCCAAATCCTCTTCCTCCTTTTCTCCCAGCGGGCTCACGGGCCCACATGCAAAATGAAGACCAGTCATACTTGGAGGCCAGGTGCTGAATATGGATCTAATCAAATGACTTTATAAGGAGTACACATGTCCTCACCACCAAAACAGGCTCGGTCCTCTATCTCGGGTTTTACAGTAAACCTAGGAGCGTATAAAATCACTCCTGAATGCTGGGTGGGTCACCTTATCTCTAGGCCAGAGGAATCAATTACAGCTGATTTGAGAAAATGGCTACTGACCAGTCAGTGGGACATAAAGGAGTAGCAAGTTAAAAGGGTAATTAGAACAGAAGGGAGAAGCATTTGAAATCGAGCTTCACAGAGGGCTTTACCCAGTAACAAAAAGTCAGTTCAACAGCATCATTAAAGCTAAGAAGGTAACAAAAAAATAAAGATGGGATAAGAAAATGGAAGGCTTGCATACATTACTGTATCCTCTCCCACTTAGGTAAAGAGCCTGCTGTGCCCGAGATCCCATTTCCAAGGAAAGGGTCACTGAAAGGCGGTAACAGGGGACAGGGCTGATGTCTGACCGCCGGTATTAAGCGCAAAGGAAAGCCATTTTGCCGAGAACAATGCGGCCCGTGGAACTCGTTGGAAAAGTACCTCACTTACCAACTCGGTTTGTGACCTACTTTAATAGCACTACAATGAGGGGAAATTTTCAACATTCAAAATTAAGCACTTGGTCCACGAACGTAGGCATTCTTTGCTATACAGAAACAATAAGGAATCGCAGACTACAACAGTAATTATACAAACATGTTAGGTATTGATCCTGGTGGTCAAAGCAGGGATTACAAAAAATTACTATATAAACTCAAAGGGAGGCTGGGAGCCATAAAAGATGACTCTTCTTTCTGAGCGGGAGTCTGTTTTTTTATCTTTTAATTTATAAATAAGGCAGAGGTGTAGTTGATAATTTCTTAGGTAGAGATTTAGCATTAGAAAACCTGGGTTCAAACTCTGATACTATCACCCACTAATATTTCTTTTAACTAAAATATTTAAACTCACTGATCTCAAGTTCTTCATCTCTAAAATGGGGATAACATTTTTCCTCTCCACACTCCAGGGACAATGGCATGAAATTAGCTTGAGAAAAATGTAAAAGCTGCATAGAATAGCATGGAATTGATAGCACTGAGTACACCTGTATATACAGTCACCAGCAAAGCAAAATAAAAACAGTGGGCAATTTATCTCACATTTATAGTAAGAGGATAGCCCTTCAGAGTTGAGTAGCTGAGGAGAGACATGCTAATTGAGTGGGGGAAAATTTCTAGAATATTGGGTTCAAGATTATTCAAAGAGAATTGCTATGAATTTTCCTTAAGAAACAAAAATTACAAATGGCAAGTTTAAGCTTCAGTAAAAATACATACCTTTTTCCCTTTTCAGGCCTGCATTATTTGCAAACCACGATCGGGATGTCCCAAACGTTGCAGCCACGCAAAATTCTCCGCCCATTGATTTGCTGGGTGAAATTTGTGGAGGTGGTTTAACTTTGCTTAAAAAATAAAATGACAGTTTTAAAAAAAAATTACTATGACGAAATCACAGTCCTCAAGATAGTAACATATTTCCCGTAAAATTCCACCCCTAAATATTCAAACCCTCCCATGTAGACATGCATTTTGCCTTAAGTATCACTGATGGTGGGAGACTGTTCCGCAGTAAAAGCAAGACTAGTGCGAAGTTCGAGAGTATTATCAGAACAGCAACTTCTAAGACCAATAAACATCAATTTATTTTTGAAGAATGTGCTGGCAAAATCCAAGTCGACTCATTTCAGATGGACAACACTTCCCTGGATATTTCAGAGTGGAACAACAGAACCGGCACAAACATCCCATAGTAATAAAATCGTTTTTAATATCTAAAATGTGGGATTGACAATACAGTTGAATGAAGACAGCATGTACGGAAGCACGAGATGGTACAGAATGAGACCCTGAAAATGCTCTCAGCCACATGGCTACATGTGGTTGGACAACGTCTGGGGAGCTGATCTAAGATCTAACACAATTAGTCGCTCATCTTCCTATTTATTATTTATTCTTTCTTCATGGACTTGTGAAAATGATAGGTTTGCTTCCATTTTGTTTCTCATGTTTGAGGACACATTAGATAGCTTCTGCTACATCACATAACTACCATGAGAAAGGATATTTTCTCTCTGTTTTCCCCAAATCAGCTTTCACCTTCTAATACCATCACCTTCTGGTATCAACCTTTCACCTTCTTTCAAATCCTGTATTTCTCTTCGCTCTTGATTTGCCAAAGGCTACCCCAAAGTTCGCCTGGAATTTGGCCAAGCACCTTAGGTAAATGGTGGCATTATTTTCTCTGATTCATAGACCAGGAAACAGCCTCACTGTACCCTGGTCAAGATCAGAGCCCAGTCGGGGCCCAAGAATAACAGGGCTCTGATGTTCCTAATCTGCTAACCAGTCTCCAATGTCAAATAACATTATTCCTACCTTTTTCTGCTTACTATCCTTTATCTCTTTCTCTTTTAATGAAGTAGGGTTAGATGGAGAAAGACTGGTTTTTTGGAGTCAGGCAGAAACACAAACCCGAATCCCAGTGCTGTCCCTTTTCAGCTGTGTGGATTTTAAGTTATTTAACTGCTCAGAGCTGGTTTTAAGGATTACTGTCTTATATTTGTTCTGAAACTGTGGTCCCTGGCATTGTACTGAGAACTTACACATGCAGGTCTTCATCAGGCCACGCCCAGACCTACTGCATCTGACACTCTGGAGGTGGGGCACGACAATCTGCGGTTTTTAACTAAAGCCCCCAGCGAGATTCTGGCACACCCTCAGGTTTAAGAACCAACCTGCTGTATCAGGTAAAGTGCATAAAGGACTCAGGGCAGGGCCTTCCTGGATCACAGCACTCAACCTCAACTACCTACTAGATAGCACAACAGCCTTCAACTAATTTTCAAAAAGATCAGACTTCAGGTGTCATGACACTTGAAATAGTCTCTCACATATTTTATTTCCTGAGCCTTCTGTTCTGATGCTTTCCCGCTAGCAGAAAGTCTGGGTCAGAGGCCTCTGACCAAATCCACAGCAGTGCACACTGCAGTACATGCAAAGGCCTCTTCTTCCTGTCCTTAAACACTCTGAGTCATTCATCATGAAGATCACATCCCTACCTAAAATGCCAACACCTCTTACAGTCAGATTTCCACTGTTTTTTCTTTTTAAGTTTCTGTGAGAAAGTGAATCTGCTTCTACAGTTTCACATCTTCCTTGTTGCATTTGCTACAGCTGCAAAAACCTTTACAAAAACTGCGAAACTAACAGAAAAGAAGACTCCCCTCCATCTACATCTGGACAGACACACACCCTCCCTCGATTTCTGGGAAACCAGCATCACAATTTTCTTTCTGGTGCTGCTGCTCTCTGCTGTGCTAAGTTAGGACATAAATTTTCCTTCAAAGTCTCTACTTCCATCGCTGAACTACTATCGGGGAGCTCTAAGCTCCTGTAATTAGCATCTTCTAAGAAGAGAGAAAAAACACTCTAGAATTTTTTTGAATGGTGTTTCAACTGTGTGACTAGGTTTTCACTAAAATCACCATCAAGGAACAATAATACTACACAGTGTACAAATAAGCTTCCTAGGGACAAATTCAAAGCTCTTTGCAAATTACGTAATGCTATTTTTCTTTTTTAAACCAGTAAGCAACAAAATAGAAAAGTGAAAATCTCACTTCTTAAGAGAGACTATGGTGCATCTAAACAAGACTTAAAAATAATTGCCACTGGGCTGGTTAGCTACCTTTGTAACGTAACAATCCAGTTAGTCTTTAGCCAAGCAAACACGTATTTTTTATGTCTATTAATTTACAGTCTAATCAGTCTATGTCAAAAGCTAAAGTCTCTTACACTTCTGTGATGTTACACATAACTAAGCTTCTGAACATACAAGTAAAAAACATCAACACAGTATTATTATACATAAACTCATTATTTCCTGCAAAGAATAAGTATCTCATGCTAACAGTATTCTACAATTATGCAAAAATGATCATTTTAATTCTTCGTTATTTCTTTTCTTCTGACAAGGCCTTCATAAATCACATGAATAAAAAGTCTGTGTTTAATAAGTAATTAAAAGTTTGTATCCCTGAAACTAACTTACTGCCTCCTGCACGACACAGTGCTATGTATTGGGTATTCAGCATATTAGGCGAACATATTCTTAACAAGTTATTTATGTCATCAATCTACATTTGGAATGACTCCGGTATTTAAGCAAAATAGAAACTGAAAATATGTGCATGTGTGTGCAAGACTTTCAGAAAAATAAAAAGGGAAAAATAACCTAAAGAAATGATTATTATTAATAAAGTATTTTCTATGTGAAATACCCAAAGGGAGAAAATTTAACTTTGATTCAATTTGCCCTCTATCCTAAATTTTAAAAAGACCAAGACTAGGAATGCTAGGTGGAAAAAGAACTGAACTTTTTCACAATGACCCAGAGTATTTCTATGGCAAGTTAAACTTTTGTGGCAGAAAGATAAAATAGGGAAAAAAATGATACATATATGAGAGGAATAACAAGAAAAGTGTTAGCCTTGTCAATCATGTTCACTTATAGATTGGTGACCCAACCATCTTAGGAAAGCATTCCAATACCAGCCTTTTGTCTTTTTTCCTCTCAGTATCTTCCCGAATTCTCTGAAAGAGACTTAATGAATTGCATTAGAAGTTTAAAAAGAATAGCTCTGGGTGTTTGGAAGCCTTCTCTTATTTATTTATTCACTTATTATTAAATTAGTAATTGATATAAAAAAAAATAAAATTTCAGTGTATATGGGTGTCCAGAAATGACTGTGTTGATGATAGTTATAAACCAGAACAAAACATGCTGGTAGCGCTGGGAGACTCCTCCCCGGAGAACTGCTTTTTACTTCTCTGAGCCCATCATAAACAACCCTGTGTTCAAAACTTAAAAGAAAAATTTGCCTTAATTTGTGAACACAACATAAAGGACAATGGAATGAGTTCAATTTTCACCGTATCAGTCAAAATAATGATAAATACATCACATTTACTAAATTTGATCTGAGACAATATAATCAAAAGTAAAATAAATGTAAAAAGAAAATAAAACAAAACAAACAAGTAAGGTGCTAAATTAAAACTCAGAGGTTTTAACATTTTTGTCATTTCTTCTGGGAGACTTAACCATCTAATCATAAAAGGAGAATCATTTTCAGTGCCACCAGACATTCTGGGGACATTAACACTATGATATCTTTAAAAGTATTTACAAAGAGTATTGAAGATACCCATTGGCTTTTTCTGTATTATGTAATTCAGTCAGATAAACATACTGAATTTCTCTTGCCTGTTTTTTTTTTTCCTCCACACTCTACTGTAAGGGGGTGGGAGGTGGGGTGGGAAAGCAAAACGCTTACGATACTGGCTTTAAAATTATAGAAAAGTTATGTCCATCTAGATAATTTTACCACAACCTATAAAATGGGATGTATGTGGTGTATCCATGGATGGCAAGAAAAGTAACAGTGAGGTCTGGTGCCTCGTTCAGAAGGACAGAAACATGGAAAGAGCTAAATTGAGATAGAAGCACCGTTTTTTTCCTTCTCTAAACCATAAGGGTACAGTCAATATTGTAGCTTGACTGTTAGACACAATATTGATGTAAGAATTATAAGTGGTATTATGTCTTTGTGTTAAAGAAAAAAAATTTTCTCTACGTTCCTCACTGTCATTAGGCTTTCGAAAGGAATTTAGAAGTTTCCTCTCACTCTCAACTTTATTTGCTAAAGGAAGAACTAAGTGGGAAACTGAAAGTATTTTGTTTTAAATAAAGACACTAATAATATATCTAAAATTATTCTATCACAAATTAACCTTGCAGATAAGAAAAGATTCTCCTCTCCATATAAATCTTTCCTTCAAAAAATGAAATTATAATATCTTTTAATATTCTCAGAAGAGCAATGAACTATTTATACATAGACTGAACACTCTCAGAGCTAATTAAAACTTCAAATATAATTCAATATGTAAGTTTTAACTCTTCTTTAAAAATAACCTTATATAATACTGTACAGACAGGTTATAAGTAAGGGATATATTCAAAAGGACCACCTTTTGTCCACAATGTTGTGCACATGCATTTTCTTTTGCTAAGCAGGTCAAAAACAGCAGTAATTTAAATACAATATTAGATGCAGATTAGGAACTCAATAAATACTTGTTACTTATTTATAATACTGAAAGCAAAATTCATTTGTAAAATTTCACAATGGTTCTATCTCTTAAAATTTCTGTATTAGAAAGTATATCACATATGTGATTCTTTTATATTATTTTATACTGTCATTCAAATTCAAAAATCCTGGATACATAATCTCCAGAATGTATAAAATGACTAAAGGGTTGAAGACGGCTTGCATAGTTAACCTTCCAACAAGCTTATTTGGTTGTCGAACAAAAGACTCAACTGAAACTGCATGAATTTAAACAACTAAACCAGTTTATCAAAGAATGAAGAATTGGCAGAAATTGTGATCTAGCAAAAGGAAAATCTTAGCTAAACATAAACATTTCAACTTCAAAGCAATAAAAAAAAACTGTGTGAAATTTATATAACATTTTAAGAGGAACTATAAAATTTTCATATTCTTCCAAAATACAAACATTACCCTACACCGGAAGTTCTATAAACTTAATGAAATAAATACATGTATTTAGCATAATGTCTCAAAGCAGTAAATAAAAACATTCTCAGGTTGAATGCTAAATATCATAGAAAAATGATTTTAAAAAACTCTTAAAACAAAGAAGCTCTTATAAACAACAGAGAAGAAATTGTCAAATTTATATTCATTTTGCTGCCTTAATTTGAGGTTTCATTAAGATCTTAATGGGAAAAACATGCACCAACAGTAAAGGAACGTATTTTAAAGGAGGATCTTTTAAGCTAGTGTAAGTGACTAAAAACGAGTTTCTTGGGAGCTAACGATGGCATCAAACAAACCACATAGCGGTCTTCTAAAAGACAGGCAATGATTTAAAAGTCTACTGTATTTCATATATCCCTTTCTTTAATCTGGCTCTTTTAATCTTGTTTCAACCTCAAATCATTTCTGGTTGACAAGTGCTTTTGCTTAAATTTGAGGGGCACATGAGCTGTTGAAGGCATGGACTTTTCTTATTTCGCATACAACATTTGTTATTCCATCTCCACTTCAATGCTAAAACTTCTATCTTTATTAACATACTAAAACTCTTTTCCTTGTACTGAGAATGAAAATTTGTCCTAAGATGGAATTTAATTCTAAATTGAGTCTACAAAGAAATGCTGTCATATGTTGAATCTGGCATTTAAAAAATCAATGGTTCACTATAATCTCCTGAGTAAGATCCATATATCTTATGTATTTTGGGAAGAAATTTTGTTAACGAAAAGAATAAAGATTAACTTTCAGGAAACCTTTACTCGTTTATACCCTGACTTTCTTTAGAACAGTTTCATAATCTGTGTTCTAATTTCGATGATGCATTTTAAAGAGGAAATTTTTATGATGATTTCCCACCCTATTCTAACATGACAATGAAATTTTCAGATGTTCCTCTGGCAAATGAAAACTGAAATTAGTTTATGTCAAATTATACTGTACCTTAAAGAACTATTTAAGGTTTTTTTTGTCCAAGAGAAAAAAGATTGAAGGTTTTTTCCTAGTATAATGGGACAGTATGAGTAAGTTCCTCAGCAGTTATGAGAACTGCACACATATTCAGTACTTTTTAAAGTACTGTAACCATATTTATAAAATCAATGTAACTTAATTAACATTAACCAAAACTTCCTTTTGGCTCACTCACTCTTAAAAGCAAAAAATCAGGATCTAATTTAAATAAGTTTCTTTCAAAAATGGTTTATTTTCCCCTTAAACCTTCAAAGTTAGTAGCAGCTAGCATTTACTGAGCACTTACTATGTACCAGGCACTGTTCTCAGCAATTTATACTTTCAGTTCATTTAACCCTCACAACCAACCTATGAGGTAGGTGCTACTGGTAACTCTATTTAATAGAGATAAGGAAACCAAGAAACAGAAAGGTTTTAGAAAATTGCCCAAGGTCATCTAGAGAGTATGTGAGCTGGGAATTAAGACCTGGACAGTCTGACTCTGGAGCCCTGACCCTTACCTACTATATTAAACACATTATACCAGGTTCTAAATACATTCTACTTCCCATCTTTACACAAAAGTAATAAATATACTCTGCTTCTTTTCTATGATCATCGTATCTAAGACTGACAAAGTTGTAGTTTTAGCACTCATACAATAATTTATTAAATAAGTTACAGCACGTAGATGCTAATAACTCAAAATTATAGATTATTTAGGAGCTTTTATGTGAAACACAAATTTCCTCAGGTAGCTCCTTAAATACCTAAACTACTCAAAACAGAACTGACTCTTGTTCCTTTGGTCCCAAATAAAACGCAATAAAAATTTATAGGGGAGTTTTAGTATACCTTATATATATTTATATTTCAAAATGAATCATGCCTGCACATGTTCAGCATGACAAGTAGGGAGTCTCTATCACTATAATACTCAAAGCTTTAAACCTGGGGGTTAGCCTTGTCTTACAATATATACTAACATTAGGAGAGAATTCTTCTAATTTCTTTTTTTTAAGTATTAATCTATGATTTCTTATGTGACTTTTCAGGAAATGAAGTGAAGCCCAGAAAACCGATCTTTTAAGGCTTAACCACCAACACTCATGACCCAACCACAAATTCTTCCGTGATTAGGGGCATCTACCTGTGATCAGGCCATGCAACTGGAGACACAGGACACAACAGAGTTACGTTCTGAGAGAACAGCAAATGAATTAGGCATGCGGGACTGAACCGGGACTCACCATGGAGCTTTTATGGAAAAACACCCCGCTCCAAACAGATAAGGCCTTCATGGAAAAGGGGGGAAAATGCACAAAAAATTAGAGGAAAACTCATTGAACATTAACAAATACATGTAAATCATACTGTTATAGAGTATGAATAAAATAACTGAAAGAATTACTAATCGTTTGCAATTCTGTCGCAGATACTAACGAGTCTGATGAAACCAAGAAACAGAATGACGTGCAGTAACAAGTCCCTTAATTTTCACAGGGTTGGAGATTTCAAAATGTTCTATTTCGCCCCCTTTTCTGGAGCACCCCTGTAGGGTCCCTAAGGTAAAATAAAGTAAATTTCACATCAGAGGCCCCTTACAACAAAGTTGAAGTTAAATGGAATAATTAGATGGAAAAGAGTGAGAGCAGTAGCAACAGATGCGTGGTTGTGTGACACAAAATGTTAAAAACTTTTGAGAGAGGACTCAGTAAAAACTTCAGTAAGCATCTTTTGCTGTTCACCAGTTGTAGTCTCAGAACCACAGAAAGTACATATTTTCTAAATTGCTTCTTTACAGTGAGTTGAACTGCATATTGCTGGTCAAAGGACCTAACACTAAATATACGTATGTAGTATGATATATTTCCATGAAGGGTCACGTTCCAGGAAATTAGCATTTCTCTTAATAGTGATACAGGTGGTTAACTTCCACTACCTGGCCTATACTGGGTTAGGCTGGAATACAGGACTAAAGCCATAATTGCTTCTTTTAAATACAGCTGGGGATACAAAGCCGACTTCAGTGTTACACATTTTTCTTCTCAATATTCTGTTCACAGCATTTAAGACATGCTATGCATATTTGCACAGAGATGACTGAGTGATTTAATTATATCCAAAACCAAATACTGTTGCAGCATCTGACACTTGGAAAGAAGACGTTAACAAATGGAGAAGGAAAGTGCACTGCATAACCTGGACATTTTCTTCTTCAAATCTGGTGTTAAGAACATTAAAAAAAAATAATCCTGATAATTAGCATCGATCTCCCAGTAAACTGAAAATATTTGGCCACAAACTAAAACTTGAGGGAAATGTATTCACAACACTGAGGACAATTCTGAGGACTAATACACAGAAGATACAAAGAAGGGAACAGAAAAGTAAGAAACGAATTAGAAGGAAGAATGAGTTGGAAGACAAAGATATTGGAAAAGAAAAAAAGAAAAGAAACTTTAGAGAACGTCTCAATACAAGGCAAGGAAACCTCTCCCACACTTAACGATAAGACCACAACCAGACATACGTCATCATCCACATTTAGGACAACGGATTCCAATTATTTTCTTGACTATGACCCACAGAAATATACAGCTGACCATCTTTATCTGCAGGTTCCACATCTGTGGATTTAACCACTCACAGACCAACATTTTGGGGGAAAAAAAATTCCAGAAAGTTTTAAAAAGCATAACTTGAATTTGCTGCTCACCAACAGCTATTTATATGGCAATTTACTATTTACAATGTGGAGAAGATTCCAAGTGTATGGGTGCATGTGCACAGGTTAGATGTGCAAATACTAGGCCGTTTTGTACAAGGGATTTGAAGACCCACAGATTGAGGGGAGAGGGTGTTCCGAAACCAACCTCCCCCAGATACCAAGGGACATCTGTATTTTAAGACGTAAATTGGTATGTACACAAGCACACAAACTGAAACAAAAATTTAATGAACGTCTTTTTTGTCTATAATCAACCTTACCATTTTCTATTTCAATGTTTATAAAATGTTGAGATTTAGTTACAGTGAAGATTAATGCATATAACAGGGTAGGTCAGGGTGGGGCCTTAGATTCTGTATTTCTAACAAGCCCCTATAGAATGCTACAGCTGCTTGTCTGCAGAACCAGTAGCAAAATTACATTTTATTGTATTCTATTCCATTAATAAAAAAAGAAGTTAGTCACAATCGCCTTCTCTGTTTACACTAATCACATCAGAAACAAAATATTACTGGAGTTCTCCCTGTACTTTGACACTGATTTGAATAACTGAAATCATGTGAAGACTGCAACCTCTCAATAGCACAGTGATGCCATGAAGAAATGATCAATGAAAATGTATGGAAAGTTTGATACATTTCCACATGCCCATAAATGCCTCAAGAATGAAGCGGTTATTGTTGGCACCCACTACCCAACTTCCTGTCGTTTTCTTCCTTGGGCAGACACCTGAATTCACCAAATACTTCAAATGGCTCTGACAGAGGCACTGTGCCCTGGGAGTTCTGGGCAGGAGATAAAAGTTAATGTATATTGTATCGAAGCTGAGCCTCCGCATTCATCCCAAGTATCAGGATACAGCTGATTCACTGCAAAGAATTTGGAAGTTTTATCTTTGTCTTTGATGACTTAAAAGGCTTCTCTATTGACCCAACAAAAACAAACAAAATGAAACAAAACAAACAAAATGAAACAAAACCTTGAAGTTTCTACATTTCAAAAGACAGCTGATGTTCCCACCTTTAGAGCCAGTAAATGCCTCTTTCCAAGTTTAGGTTCCCTTATGCATAAAAATGAAACATATTAACCAAGCAAATTAAACACAAGTTTTGGGTTCCTTTTAATCTCCTAGGTTCTCCTTTCCAGGTTGCAGCAGCATGTTACCAACAAGATTTCGACAGCCCCACCACCATCCCAAAATGCACTGTTAGCTCTCCAGACACGAGTAAACAGGCCTGAGCTACCAGCAGCATTGTCAAGTTCAAAGACCCTACAGTTCTCACGGTTCACGGCATAACCTGGTGGGTGAGGTAAAAGCTACCTTCGGTCAAATAAGAGGTCTCCAAGCTAACCTGGCTCCGGGAGAAAACAGAAGGTGGGGGAACAGGGTGAGAATCCATTTTAGTACGTACACTGGGCATGGTCCCAACCTACACTCACCCACTTCTTACCCACTCCCACAAACTGGACCTCTGCCACAGACATGCCGAAGAAGAGCCACAAACTCCAAAGAGTTAGTGACTGACGTAATTACTGACTTCATATGGGTAGTGTCAGCTGTTCCTTTGAAATGTGCCCGCTTCATCTTTCCTCGGTAGCAAAAGAATGAAAATATAAAGTCACAAAGGACAAGTCCACGATCCAGCTGTCTTCACCTATGAATCTCCCCTCCCCTCCAAAATCCCGCAGCTGGAGTTTTACACGGGGGTGGGTAGGAGGGGGAGGGGAGTGTGTGAGGGAGAGGACATGCTGAATTAAAACTGTCTGTATTAACATACGCAACTCAGATGATCATGTTCAGGTATTAAGGATGTCTGCAGTTTTCCAAACACTATTAAGTTGCAGCAGATTTAACAATCTGCCATATGAAACCTATGCACTATGTCATGACTGTCCTTTTTAAGCTTAATTCTGATGGAAAAGCATCAGGACTGGCCAAGAGACAAAAAATCCAGAAAAACCCATTACAGACTTATTTCAAGTCCAGCATGAAATGACTTGACCATTGGTTCTCAAAGGGTTTCTTCTACAGATTCTTAGGTAATAGAAAGAAATTGTCTTTTATATCATATCCTATTAAAGCTACATAAGTCTTTAAATCCTGACTCCTTTTTTTAAAGGCCACGCAGTACCACAAAAGGTTTGGCCTAACTACTTAAAAATAAGGCAAATCTGAAGATTTTTAAAATATAAGTAAAAAATAAAACTAGATTTGATTCAAACATGCTGAAATCCTACACAAGCTGACTTAAGCGATGAAAGGCATTAATAATGATTAAATTTCACCATCCAGAGTTAAAGAAATAGTTGGAGTCTGAGACAAAAGTCCTATAAACATACTCTGAAGGTCCTATTTTCCAGTTGTTTCTGTCCTATGAGAATTCAGGCACTATCACTTAACAGACATCAGCATCATACAAATATTAAATGTACTGAACAGAGTAAGGGCTATATGTGTCAAACTGGAAAGTAAAGCTGCATTCTCTAACAATATATTCCAGCCGCTCTAATGATGCTGCTACACTCTATATGCCCCCTTTAAGCAGCAACAGAGATGGACTCACATTTCCCACATGCACATGAGCAAATTAGTCTTCATAACATTTTCAAGAGTTACTTTAAATTTTTCATTAATTTAATTTTAACCACTCCCTACTAAAGAGACAAATGGCACTACTGGCTCTCAAATTATTGATCTGTTAGGCAAATTCAAGCTGAAACATACAGGTTATAATTGTCTAATTTGAGATACATTCAACATGCAAATTTAAATGACAAGCTCAAGATTTTCACTAGAAAAGCATTAATGTTCAAATTCTGCCAGACACGGCAGAAAAGAGACTAGAATAGCTTACATAGATTGTCAACATTTTACAGAAAGTAATGCTTCCTAACTTATAACACAGTATATAGAAGACTTAATCCCCGCCCTCCCCGCCTTGCCAAGTCCACACATTTATGGTAAAAGGGAAGAAACTATGGAACGGTTTAAGTACTCTACTGATTTAACACAAAAATTGGAAACTAGTAAGTAAGTTACACATGTAGGCATATCCATATCCATTCTAATGAAAATACATTATCCATTATTTTACAGCTGGAATCAAACATTTAGAGGTTAGTATCAAGAAATAACACACAGACAAGACAGGGCTAGGAGGTAGAGAAGTACCATCTGCTACTGTATCCAGTGAATCTTTCTCCAGATCTTTCCCACTTAACTCTGAGACCTTTACCTCTAGGGTGTGGGGCTCAGGTCAAAGTGTCTAAATAAGCCAAGGCAGACTTAACTGAATTAGAAGAAGGAATAGACCTTCCTCGAGGACTCTATGCCAATGTCATTCATTTACTTAACAAGCTCTGATGGCAGATCTGGGCGACAAATTTCAACCAGAGATCTTCGAGTAAATGCTATTAAATGCTTTCAGTTCTAACAGAACAATCATCTAGATTTTGTAAATGGAGCTCTTGCTCCACACTGGCCTAGGGCTCACCAATGAATGAGGCTTAGAAATTAGGTAATGGGATTTAACATCTGGTGGGAACTCATACGCTGCAAGGCTGAAAGATTATAACTCATACATACAAACTTTAATTTTTCATATGCAGAAATTTACCTAGGGCACAGTGGTAATGGCAGAGCCAAGATGAGAGAAGCCAGAGCTTCAGATTCCTAAGTCAAGATTCTTTCACTGCATTACCTAATCTATTTCTACAGGGTCAGGCCAAAGGTTCCTAATATCTACCTCAAATTGCTCACAAAGAAATGACTAAACATGAGGGGGTAGGAGTAGGGGGAAACAGGAAGCTACTCCATTTAAGAAAAAGGAAATCTATAAAAGATGACAAATCATATCATATTTACTAAAAACGGTCAGCTAGTTAAGAATAAGGAAGTAACTTCATTCCCAATTTCTGTATTTTTTATTTCTGTGAAATTACTCTGACAATGTTTTGAAATGTACTTTGTGCCTACAAAATGTGCATATAGTAGTAATGTTAGAGTCAATATACATAAAATTAAGCTTACTGATGACAAATTATCTTTTTTTACTACTTTTACATAAGAAGCATTTAAAAAAAAAACCTTTGTCACTTACTTAATTCATTAATGCCACCAAACATCCACGAAATGTTGCTTAATAAATCCCTACTACCAAAACTACACTCCAAAACAAGGAGCAATCCATCGGTACCCAGTTTCACTTTTAACAGATGAGGACTACTCTTATTTACACATGATAAAGACAGGACGGAGGTCTTTCCAACCCTCCAGTCTTAAGACTGGAAAAAAATGGGTTTTCTTTGAATGAGTGACTGTTAAACCAAATGACGGCCAGCACTCCTCTACCTTCCTACACCACAGTAGAGTTAAGCAACAGCTGTTGCCAAAACAGGCCTTATTTCCTCCAAGTGCTGCTTCAAGGTACAGAACATGGAGGTGTAAATACATCTGTCTTTTGCCATTTGTAGGTCTACTGGCCCCGCGAATGTCTTCAAGTAAGACAGATGGTCCTACACTGCACAAGCTTTCAGGGATATGTATTTCCAAAAATAAGAGGGCAGATGTGAAACATGCTAAGCACACGTCTATCCCCTGAAGGTTTGAGTTGAGGCTTCCATCTAAATTTGGTTATTTAAATATAGGATCCCAGGCAATCCTTAGAAATCTCTGTGCTAGAAATGTAATTTTTTAATGCTTATTTGATGCCCTTATGCCAAACATCTAAGACACGGAATAAATAAATATTGATCCAACCTAAGTAAGTATATAATTTTACCAGAATATTACCAGGCATTACTCATACGTCTATAAATGAGTCAGCTCCATGTTCTCTGTCTACATAATCCATGTCCAGTATTTCTGTTAATTTTATTATTAAAAACCTAGGAAAGCTATGCGATCGAAGCAAAGTTAGAGTAAGTTAGGATTTCCACAATGAAAAGAAATCTGGGAAATTAAAAGCCTGTTTGTGCATCACTCTGGTGACCTTAATGTAGCAATCGAAATTCTCAGTACATATAATAAAAATTGCTGGAAATGATGCAAATGAGCTAACTGCAGCTTGAGATCTGGTCACAGTAAAATCTCTAAAAATAAAAATGAAATAAATATAACTTAATATCCAATGGGATGAAACCTAGTGATATAAAATGTCTAGAATGTGTTTCTAATCTCAGCATATTTGAAAAATGGAAATTCGGGAAATATATTTTGTTCTCGCAAAACAAATACTACTTTTGGTAAGTATTTCAATGAAATGCTAAGTTTTAAGATAATAAGACCACAAACTACAATCTGAAAATTCTATGACCATTAAATGTTTGGGTGACTTACAGTAATACTCTAAGAATTGTAAGGAAAGTCACAATAACAATTTCTGAATATAACCAACAAACCCTTCAGAAAATGGCTTAAGGGTACCAAGTCTTTTAATCTACCAATAGCCAAGTCTAAGTTATGAATACTACCATCAAAGTGTTTATAGGTCACCATAATCTATATTAACAGGAAGGGAAAAAAAGAATAGCACAAGGGGAGGGGAAAAAAAGAAGAGTGGGTGGGGTAATTTATGATGCACTGAAGCTCTGCCACAAGTAGGGATTTCATTACAGACAACAACTACAGTATATACCAAACAAAAAACTAGTGAGTTTATGGTGGGTGTGCGTGTGCGTGTGCTCGCCTGTGCACACAGAGAGTAAAAGAAGATAAATGATGAAGCAAATGCATTAATCCATTAACATCTGGGAAATCTGGGTATACAGGCATTCCTTTCACTGGTTTTATAACCTTATAACTTATATACAGTCTGAATCTGTATCAAAAGGTTTTAAATTACGTATTGTGGGACAAATATTAATCATTCTCTTGAAACATTTCAATACAGGACATATTAAAAAGAATTCAAAGACTTGGCAAAAATAAAGTAGTTTGAGAACTGAGATGAGAAGCCTAGTCAACAATATGGTATATGTATCTTGAACTAATATTAATTTCAAAACACAATTCAAATTCATATCACTTAATTCATTAATTATTAAATTGTCTAGAATATACATACTCTACAAATCTAGGAACCGTGACTAAGTTTCTAAAAGGAAAAGGAAGCACAGAATGTATCCAAGATCATAAAGTATGACAGCACAGGAAGACACCAGATGATTAATAGTTTCTACCCATCAAAGGGCAGAGAGAAAGAGAGTAGCAAGGGAGAGAGTGAAAGGGTGTGTGAGAGATCGTATGTTTTTATTACGGAAAATTTCAAATACATACAAAAGGAAACTCACTTTCAACTCCTCTCCACAAATATTTTTGAAATAAATTCTAACTTAGAAATAAAATGAAAATCAATAGGAAAATTTTTGAGCAGTCTTTCACTTAGATTCAGGAGAAACAGATAAAAATGCAGAAATACTTTGTATACATTATACAAAGAAAAAAAATGAGTTACCTGTAAATATAAGTTCATAATACCTTTACTATTCATAGCCACTCTTATTTACTTTATTTTAAATTAAAAAAATGAAAAGGAAGGAAAATAAAAAGTCTAAACTACACTACTACTGAACATAAAGAGTTAAAAAACTGAAATCATTTTTTCTTTCAATACAGGCCGAATGATCTCATAAAATGTGTGATTTGGGATCTAGGTTTGCTGTATTTTGCCCTTTTTTTGTCATTGATATACCACAAACTCAATTTCTGCTTTCAGCAATAGAATCACTCTATATGCAAACACCATTCCACTAGGTAGAGGGTCATTTTTTGTGTTACAGTAAAATCTGGAGCTCAAGGGCCTGGTTCCTGAGAATGTGTATTTCTTCTTAGAAAAGCGACTTCTGTAAACAATTTACCACCCAGCACAACAATATTAAAACATATTGATACAGCAGCCAAATAACTTAATCTATTCCTTTCGTTGGAAAGACTGAGAAGACTATTTGAAGCCAAGGTGGAATTTTCTCCTGACTACCTGAATACAGAATTTTAAGATAGCTGGTCCATCTCAAATTAGGTTAAACCTCAGGATTGCTGATTGATGGAAACAGGTAATTAGCCTATAGACATAAATATTTTTTGGTACAAAATGGGAGTTTCAGAGTTGCTATACAATTGAACATCTAATGATATCTTAGACACAGCACTTTATTTGCCAGAACCCAAAGAAGTGATAATTTTATAATCCTAATAGGTAAGAATTTTTAAAAAATTTTAAATAACCTAAAATAAGCACAAAGATATCAAGTGCTTTATCAAGTCTTTAAGGATATTATTGTGACCAATCTAAGTAATGCCTGGGACCCTGGCTTTTGAAAACCATCCACAACATCACATTGCCCTGACATTAATGATGATAGAATCATGATAGACTAGTATATGTATGTAAACTGTACCTCGATACAGTTGATTTTTTTTAACTATATTAGAAACATGGCTGTCATATAAAGTTCTCTCCTTAGTATTTCTGTCCGTCAAAATTTGGGGGCCATTATATATCCAGATAATGTCCACAAAAGCAAGAAAATGAAAGTGTACTACTCTCAGACAAAGCCACAAGGCAACAACTATAAGACTGAGTAGATGGCTCTGGTTTTTATTAGTCAGTACTAGTTTTCACAACTTGTCACTGCTTTGTTTTTTTTTCTCTCTCTCTGAATGTGCGTGTACATGGTTGTGTATGAATATGATTGCGCATGTTCTCCACTTTGTACTTAATCTGCTGCCATTAAGTCTCGTGTGGGCTGGAAATGAAGAACATAATCAAAACCACCCAAAGAAAAAGTACACTTTATTTTTTACATATTCAACACTCTAAAGCTGCTACTAAAAAGACATCAAGCTTGAGGCCTTACCCTGTTCTTTTGGTGATGGTCCCCAGTGTCACTGGCTGCTTGATCTGTGCAAGAGGCATCAAAACCATCAAGCTGGGGAGAGGGGAGAGCCGAGGGTTGCCAGGGTTGTTGTTGGCAAAATTATTGTAGGAGTCTTGGCTGTTGAGTTTCCCTACAAAGAGAAAAATAAAGCAAAGCATCACCAAACGAAGTTTCTTTCTTTGATAGGGTTCGCACTGACTCCACTGATCTTTTAAGAAAGTTACCAAAGGCAGAATTGGTTCTAAAAGAATCATGGTTATATGGATGGGGAAAACAAAAACAAAAACAAAAACAAAGAACACTGGTAACAACAACTGTGCTTTGATTATAAATAGAGACTTTAGCTTTTAAGGATGGAGGACTGAAAGGTACAGAACTGGATAGATGTTAAATGGTTATACAAATAATTAGTATAAAATTTAATTATGATTTTATGGTGTTATGAAGAAATACAGGATAGTCAGAGAAAACAAAATGGAAAGATCTAAATTAGCCTACAAGAAGCACGGAACGATTCCCTAAAAAAGTCTGAGAGTAAGTGGGGAGAATATTCCAGCCCTGGCAACACTGTGCTCAGAGAGCAGAAGAAACATGAGTCATAAGGATGTGTATCCATAGAGACACAGGATGAGACTGACCAAAGTCACAGTCAAAAACACTGCCTGCCTCCCAGAAGATACCACTCCCCACCGTAAAATTAAAAGGCACAACTCAATACATTCCCCTTTATTTTATGGTGAGCATTAATATCAAAAATAAAAGTTAGTCATTATGGCTCAGTGACAACCACGTAAAACAAATTCTGTGAAATAAAATCTGATCTGCAGTGAGAGCGATTATTCTCATCTCACCGGTAAACCAACTCCGCTTGTGCACTTAGCTTTTCTCCCCCTCCACAGGTGTGTACTTTCTAGAATCTCTTATAAATGAAATCATACCGTATGTAGCTCATTGAATCTTGCTTCTTTCACTTGCCAGTAAGCATCTGAGATTCGACCACTCTACATTTTCCTGCATGCATCAACTCTTTCTTTCTTACTTCTGAGTATGACCCCATTGTATAGAAGGAAGTTTGTTTACCCCGTCATTGGCAAAACGAAATCTGGGTTGTTTCCAGCTCTGGGTTATCGTGAATAAAGCTGCTATTTTAAAATAGATAAACTAGGAATGGAATTGATGATCATAGTAAATGAATGTTTGCATGGACATAATAATGGTATGTTTAAAGTTGAGAAAATGGGGAATCTTAAACAAAGGATACAAATGAACTACTAATTATTTATAACTCAGATGATTGATTTCTTGAATACATGTAAGCACATTTGACTGTCCTTTGTGAATGGATCACTGTATTCTGTTGATTCTTATTTTGCAGTTGGCATTATTCCTTTGATAACTATGTAAGTTTAAAAAGCTAAAGCTCTAATCTGTTCTTAGAAACAATGATCAGTACGTACGTGTAAACTAAAAAAATGTGCAGTATATTGTGTATATATATATTCACATGCAATATATTGTATACCTGCAGTCAAACTGTAACAATTTTACCTATTAAAACTCGGGGAAAAAAATTAAGCAGAGAAAATGCCAACTAGTTTGACAGAGTGGCTGATTCATTTCACATTCCCACGAGCAAAGTATGATCATTCCGGTTCTTCCACATCTTCACCCGAATTTTGTTTCTTTCTTTTTTTTTTTTAATTTTAGCTATACTGGCTTCTATTTGGATGTCTCTAATGGTCAAAAATGTTTACCTTGTTGTTCATGTACTTATTTACTACCCATATATCTTCTTTGGTAAAGTGCCTGTTCAAAGCTTTGGCCCATTTTAAAAATTGACTTCACATTTTTGCAAGATATAATTCACATACCATGAAATTCACCCTATTAAAGTATATAATTCTGTGGTGTTTAGTATATTCTAAAGAGCAGTACAACTGTGATCACTATCTAATTTCAGACTATTTTCATCACCCCAAAAGAAAGCCCTGCCCATGAGCAGTCATTCTTCCTTTGCCCTACCCATCAGTCTTTGACAACCAGAGATCCCTTCTGTTTCTACGGATTTGCCTATTCTGGATATTTCATATGAGTGGGATCACACAATGTGGCCTTTTGTGACTGCTTCTTTCACTTATTATGTTTTCAAGTTTCATCCATGTTATGCCATGTAGCAATAGTTCATTCCTTTTCATAGCTGAATAATATTCTGTTGTATGAATATAACACATTTTATTTATCCATTCATCAGCTGATGAATACTTGGGTTGTTTTAACTTTCAGACTACTATGAATAATGCTTCTCTGAACATTAGTCCACAAGTGTTACAAGGACTAGTATTTTCAATCTTTTGGGGTATGTACACCTAGGAGTGGAATTGCTGGGTCTATTTTTAACCTTTTGAGGAACTTCCAAACTGTGGCTGCACCAATGTATTGAGGGCTCTAAATTCTCCATATCCTTAGCAACATTTGTTATTGCTGATCGTTTATACTTTATCAATTGTAGTGGGTGTGATGAGTTATCTCATCACAATTTTGATTTGCATTTCTCTCATGACTAATGATGTTAAACATCTTTCTCATGTGCATTTTAGTAATTTGTGTACCTTCTCTGGAGAAATGTGTATCCAAAATTTTGGCCCAAAATTGAGTTGTCTTTTTTGTTGTTGTTCAGTTGTAAGAGTTAATTATATTCTCAGGATAAGTCCCTTGTCACTAGACTATACATTGATCTTGTATCCTACATCCTTTCTGAACTCATATCTTAGCTCTAATAGTTTCTTGTGGATTCCCTGGGATTTTCTAGGTACACAATCACGTTATCCACAAAGAAGAGAGTTTTACTTCTGCCTTTCCAATCCAGGTGAACTTCTATTTCTTTTATTGCCTAATAGCCTTGGTTACCAATTCCAGTACAATACTGATCAGAAGTGGCAAGAGCAGAGTGTGATTAATTTTTAGTTAATTTTTGTATATGGAGTGAGATATGAGTTGAAGTTTATTGTCTTCATTGCTTTAAAAATAGATGTCCACTTGCTTCATCATCATTTATTTAAAAGATGATCCTTTCTCCACTGAATTGCCTTCCCATCAATGTCAAAAATCAATTGACCATATATGTGTGGGTCTATTCCTGGATTCTGTTCCACTGATTCATGTGTCTTTTAACCAACATCCCTTTTTTTTGTTGCTGTTTACTGTGTTTTTATAGTGATTCTAAGTAATTCATGTACTTACATAGAAACTTTATAAAAATTTATCACATTTTCAATGCTATAAAAAGAGTCTAATGTTTATAATTCAACAACTCTTCCATACACAAAATACTTTATTGAGCCAATGTTATTTTCAAATCATTAGTCTTCTCTATTTATAAAAAGTACCTGCCCCAGTTATTAGGTTAGCAATAAATATGGTATTGTATACATAATACTGACAATAAACAAACACACATAATTCTTTTTACTAATTTGAATTAAGACAAATTTATGTAGAAAACAAAAGAATACCCCCTCAAGGTCTTAATTAAAATCTTATTTCTAAAAGATATACTAAAAGACATTCACTCTCAAAATGGCATGGATTCACTATAGAGGGAGAACCACCACAGCATATCTAATGATAGCTTCAGAGGTAGGGGAAAGTAAGAAGCTCCCTTTAAAAAAATCATTACAAGATGAAGGTGTCTTCAGAATTGGGATAATGGCTTAACCAATTGTGACATCTTTCTTGGACAAAAATCTATGGAATTATCAAGTTAAACAATTAAAAACATCTTTTTAGCAAAACAAGAAAAAAAAGATAAGAAATGCATACAAACAAAATAAATATTTCTCTCTATACCCCCAATTTCTAAATCAGATTCCACATTAAAATTAATTGAAGACACCCACACCTATGGAAGGGATAATAAAATAACAGCATTCAGAATATGCACAAGATTCTTTAGGCTGTTAATAAATTATACAATAATATCTACACTCGCACAACACAAAGTTTATAGGCAAAATGAAGAGCGGAATCCAATTACAATATTTTATATTTGTGAGAGAATAACAGAAAAATGACTCTAGGGTTAAGTCATTCAAAGTGATTTATTATGATACCCTTAAGGCCAATATAAATGTAAACAGTTGCAAGATTCACCATTTGACAACTACAGTAATATTATTTTAGATTTGAAATGAGACCGCGACATGAAATATGTCACAAGCTAATGAAATTCAAGGACTGTGTTTAACACACACATTTCAAAACTAGCAGTCAAATATTTGTTGAGTGCCTTAGCTTAAGATTACATGCTGTGCAGACTGCATTCTTCGTTGTCACAAAGCTTACAGTCTAGAATGCATGAAACAGGACTAATTAAGTGCTAATTGCCTAGTACTAAAGATAAGTACACATGGGATCAATTATTTGGAAAAGAGATCATGGAGCAGATGGGACATGAACTAGGCTTTGAAAGACGGGTAAAAGATGGGTAAGTGCTGGGGAGGAGAAATACTCCGAGGATGAAGGGCAACATGAAGGGCAGAGGTGTAGAGAGATGCCACCCAGGCAAGCCACAGTGAGACATCTCTAACCAGAGGACAGAACTGGAACACACAGCAGTTTGAATACAAAGTGATCTCGGTTTCAGGAACAATTCAATTGAGGCAGACGAGTAGGAACTTAGGTGCCTAAACTCTCCAGCACGGGAAGACTACAGATTGTGCACTGAAATTCATTGGTAGGATGAGCTGTCTAGAATCACTGAGAAGCTCCACATCTTGTGGTGTAGTTATCCATGACTTAAAGCCCTTGGCTGGCTCACCAGGATAAAGTACCACCCCAGGGTAGCATACAAGGTACCTCATACCCATCCCTCTCAGCCTGCTACTGTATTGTCTTCAACACCCTAGAGTTTCTGAGCTTCTGTTCCTGGTGCTGCGTTCCTGATGTGCCTCTAAAACCCAGCCCACCTGAAAAAGTTAAGCAAGCTGGGTAGATTTTGTGTTCTTAAGAGGAGGGGCAGTGTCAGTCCTAACATTTTACTATGTGGCAGGCAATTAATCAAAATAGCTTTTATGAAAGAATAAACCTGTTAATTAAATGCTCAACAAAGACAAGGTTCAGAAAGGCAAACTC